CAAAACCCCTTCTCTTCTTTCTTCTCCTTTTTCTTCCAGGATTAGGTACGCGCTTTCAAGCTTTGTCAACACTTTTACTTTATAAAAAGGCAACCGCTTTCTAGCATTTAGCAGAAAAACAGGGAAGACACAAATTAGGCATTCGAGGTTGCAGATATTTACATAGAAATTCTGGGGAAAATATCATCATGTGTCCTTTAAGATTTATCTTGGTGTTCTTTTCGGCATTATTGGCTGGTTATGTAGCTTGGAGGACGGTTCGTTCTTCTTCGACAGATACAGATTTTACAATTCCTGAGGATTCTATGGTTGAAACAACTAATGCTCCCCAGAAAGAGAAACAAGAATTCGATTCCATTGAGGTGAGATTTCCATGTAACTTCCCTAAGATGATTCAAAATGGATTCTGGGTTTTTGTGGACATGGCAAGTGGGAAATACTTGTGGAGGAATCTCAAGTCATTGCAGAACGTTGACAAGTCAAAGAGTTATTAGGAAACATTCTGGAAAAGCACAAAAGATTCTGAAATTGTCCATTTCACCGACCAAATCTCAGTTTTTGTACAAGGAGGTTTAGAAGTGGCTAAGACAAGAAATGTAAACAATTATGCCAACCCAATGTACAAGTCATTATTTTTGTAGAGTTGTGTAATTAATTGACTCATCAATATAATGTATCTATTCGTTCCTTCCTTTCACTTTTCGGGACTTCTCAAGAAACATGTAAATTTTTCCTAATGTATCAAAAATCAATAGAGGGACTGAAAGAAATGTAACATGCCACCTCAAAAAGTCAAGAATCGCATTTAGAGAGCTATGGAAACCTAAAACATGGTAGTGTCTAACTTGTCAAATGCTTAAAAATTTACACATTTTGCTGAAATCTATATTGCCAACCTTCCTGCCATATTAGCAGTAATTGTAAATTGAAAATGCATTCCTGGCACAGTGAAAGTAGTAAAGTACTCACCTTCAGTGGTTTTGCTCAAAAAGATGTGATGAACAGCTAGTTAAACTTAAGGTAATATTGGGTATGCATTTACATTATGAACCAACAATGTTCTCCTTATATGAGTTCTACGAAATCCACTACTATCAGACAACTCCACTGTAAGAAACAGGAAGGACTAATACATATACAACTGGACTAACATATTCACACAACAGTAACTTTGTTGCAAAACCTTCTAACTCAAATCAGCTTGTAATTCGATTGACATGTATAACAGAGTAAGAATAGCATCTTGTGGGAGTGGAGCATACCTAGCAACATTGCAGCCGAGCCACATGGCCACAACCACCAGTGCTAGCAGGCTACTACTGGTTTTCCACAAAGCCAACCTGCAAATGAAAGGCAAAAAGTAAAATGCCACCTCTGCCTCCCAGTATCCATGCAAGTACCAATCTTGTATCCAGCATCTAACTTTCTGTCAAACAGGGCCATGAGACTACTAAACGTCAAAGAAAAATGCATGCCTGCTGTGTACATTATAGGAATAAAGAGACAAAGGCAGATCTGAGCACTTCTACGAAAGGACCTCTTTCTTCTTCATCAGGGATTTCTTCTTCCAACTCATCGACATTTCATAATAAAAAGAGAAGTTTTCCCTAGGATAATACTGTTCCCAGTATCTCTGCCTCCGCCAATTTCGTTTGCTATCAGCCCACCTGTAGGTCCTTACACCATTGCTGTACTCAAAGTTGTAGTCCCAATCTCCGCCCAATAGACTGTTATTATCATATTGATGTTGAAGGGCACAATCATACTGATTTCTAGTTGATTCATTAGACAATACCTGTCAAAGCCAACTGAACTTTGTCAATTGCGTTGAAACTTCAACCAAAAAGACTTGTTGGTTTTAAATAAAATGTTTATTGACGTGGGAAAAGTTAAAGCACTAGCATCCTTTTCATCAAATGCCCAAGAAACTTCAACCAAAAAGACTTGTTGGTTTTAAATAAAATGTTTATTGACTTGGGAAAAGTTAAAGCACTAGCATCCTTTTCATCAAATGCCCAAGAAGCACAAAAACCCAAACTTTTCACCACCGACAAAACCAGAATAGTAAATGAAGATAAGAAAAGAAGAAGAAATCAGCTTCTACTAAAAGAGCTACCATATATAGCAAAATTAAATTTAAAGCCAAAAATCGCAAATGAATCACCAACTTTCATACTCTTCCTATCAGCCCTTCGCCATTAAGCACCTCTCTGTATCTGCTCTGATTATCCACATAAGCTATTTCATTATCTCCTCATTATCCTGGTTTCTATGAACCTTTCTTTTTCAGTTTCATTCCTACAGATCCGCCAAGGATGTAACACCCAAACAGAACTCCTTAACCTTCCTTTCCCCCTGCTCCCCTCCCCTCCATCATCAACAGAATTCCAAGGCAATCCAAAGGAGTAAATTTGACGCCATAATAGTTAACACACTTAGGAGACGGAAAATTTGGCAATTATTGATTATAGCACTTTCTCACATGCTAGCATGAATAAAAATAGGGTGATCAGTTCTACTAATTTCATTACAAACAACTTACTCGTATCTAAAGATTTAGTTTATTCGAAAGGGTTTTAATTTCAAGGGCATACAACATCTGTGAAGATTGTAAAGCAACTGTGAACAAATGACCCCTCATCAAAACTTTGCACTTCCTTCTTTTGTAACATCCATATAGAAACTAAGTTTTCCTTCAATAGAAAACAGATATACATATTGAAGCATGTCATTTATTAACAAAACCATCCACACTCATGCTCGTTCGTTAAAGGAAAGTGTACACATCAACAGAATCTCTAGTGCTCTATAAGAAAGCGCTTAGTTTCACATCCATGAGGAAATCCCAAGTGTTTCCAGAACCAGTCTCAATGTTCATTTGACTCTTCAGTGAAAAGCCATTTGTAAACCCCACACAGAAAAATCGACGAGCTTGTCATAGTGGCTTCCTTGTTCATGCTGAAAAATGCTCATACGAGACATTGTTTAGGAATTGCTTCAGAAATGTAGAGTGGTTTCACAAGATAGCATCTCCACAAACATATACATCAATTACTTGGTTCGTTTTGATTAAAGCCTATTCAGAAAAAAGAGCCAACAGAATAGTCTACCATTTGCGAATCATTATAGTTTTCCAAATTCTGGACCAAGAAACATGTTTTGCCTCCTCCATGTCCAAACTGTCGAATACGACAGGACAGGTATGTTCAATAACCAAATCTGATTTGCGATAAATCTCCATGTCTGGTAAACTGGAAAATGAAGCTGCTCTCTGGTTTACGTTATGACAGATAAAAACTATTTTTTCCTTAATACTATTTGTCTAATATTTTCAACCATTAGAATAAGATAAACCTTTGAGCCTACTGTAAGAAACAACACTAACAACAATTATTTTCTTCAGCATTCTAAAGTCGACCATAAAATATGAGGGAAAAGAAACCCTTTTCTCTGCTCAAGCAAACAAATTATATACACAACATCCCCGAGCAATAATTACTCAGTTTCATGAAAATAAGAGACAAATGTCAAAACCAAACCGAAAGGAGTTACGCACTTCATATGCGAGACGTATTTTCTTGAAAACCTCATCAGCTCCTGAATCCTTGCTAACATCTGGATGATACTGCACTTAAGTGTTAATAATTAACTTTCAGGAATGTCACAGATGCTGGAAAGGAAACAAGAATATGGTGTCTCCAATTCAATCCAAAAAGTAAAAGAAAATACGATAAATAAGTGACCTCCTTGCAAGAAAATGATCCAAGTGAAGAAGAAAAATTAGTTCCAGGGAACAGTCTTAGTTTGTAACCATGCAAGAAAGTGTTCCCTGTTGAGACCGAGATGATGGGGTCAACACATATAAGCGTATCATGGAACATGCATCAAGCACTCTCGCTGGTTCAATTTTAGGAAAAGAGTGACACTGTCAGATAGTATGACAGTAGCCTCAGAAGAAACAGGAAAGTCATTCCTTGTGATCAATCCATAGATACTGATAGAAAATAAATAGGCACTCAAGACAAGTACATGTTCGAGAATCATTAAACAACTCCTTATCAATCTAGACTCCTTTCAATACAACAACAACAACAACAACTCAGTATAATCCCACTAGTGGGGTCTGGGGAGGGTAGTGTGTACGCAGACCTTACCCCTACCCTGGGGTAGAGAGGCTGTTTCCGATAGACCCTCGGCTCCCTCCCTCCAAGAACTCCTCAGCTTCCTCTTGGGGTGACTCGAACTCACAACCTCTTGGTTGGAAGTGGAGGGTGCTCACCACTAAACTCCTTTCAATATGAACAACAATTCAACCGATTTAATTGACTAGTATATAACAAGTATGGAATAAAGAAATATATTGGTTTTAGTAGATATTCAGAGATGATGGCAATAAACAACAGGATGGAAACCAATAGCAGAATATTTGCACAAGTCCTAGCTCTGAGTTACTGTGACCTTGTTTTTCCTATTTTCTTCCCGAATTACTTGGCTTGTGATTGCCATTCATATGTTGTTCACTACATTTTTTTTTCTTTTTGAGAAGTTAAATTCCACGTCAATATATTATGCCAGAATAGAACCTGCATCATTTGCATCAAATTAAACACCCTTAACCGCTCAGCTCTCTCCCTCTACATATGCTGTTCACTGCATTTGTTTCAGGAAATAGAGAATTGGACAAGAGAAAAAGACTGATTCAGGCTAAGTACTGTTCCTCTAGTCATATGTTAGTTCTATAAATTTAACAGATATTTCATCTTTTAGGTTTCATCAATAGTTATTTGAGAAATAAAGGAGAAAACTATGTATTGTTGATGCAGCTAAACTTGTGAAGAAATTTACCCGATATAGTTTTAAGTATGTGTATCTTGACTTTTTACAGTTGCCCCCACTTCAACATTTTCCAGTAACATCTTTCTATATAGAATTAGAACGACAGAAAAAAATGACCTATTTATTTTTCTTATTTCATTCTGGTAACTAAGCATGATTGTTAACATATTGAGGCAATTCAGTGAAGCATTTTTTAGTCAACGCTTCACTTGAATCGCACAAGATATCAACTTTTTGGTCTTCTTTTCGTGCATTATTCTGTAAGGTTTTATACATGTCTGAGGAAAATACGAAGTAGTACCTTGAGAACGAGAAGACGATAGGACTTTTTTAGATCAGCAAAAGACGCATTGTTAGGCACACCAATCATACTATAGTGGTTTTGCTGGCTGCCACTGATAGCGGATGTAGAAACCTGGGTACAACATCGAAGTGTACTTCTTTGCTTGCTCCATCGTACCCATAGTCAATCAAAAGGGGAGCCAAGAAGAGGTAGGCCTCCATGATATTGTTTGCACTTATTCAAACCTCCATGATACTCCACATTCTGTTTTCAGGTATAGAAATTGAAAATATAAATGGACGTGTCAGCAAACGCTTTTGTGATTAAGCGAGTAATAAGTGATAATAGGGTGTGAACAAGAACATTCTTGCAGTAAATGGCCTTTTTCGTCAGAAATACGTGTTCAATATGATTTTTGTACTGATACAACGAAAACTGAATCAGAAAGATTAGCAAATACAGTGCCCACAAATCATTTCCATGTAGTACGTTTACTAGCTTTAGGATAAATTTTCATAAGTAGGAGTCATCTAGTTAACAGCTTTAGCTATTTTTCAAAGATCTCAAGATTGCAAGAAGATGTCTCATGAAACAATCTCTACTATAAAAACCATCAGCAACCTTATCTTGATTTCATTTTTGTGGATACACTCACAGCACGATTTCAAACTCCAAAAGGGTCATCATCTGCAATGCTGTTTGTTAAGAAAGTCGAACAAGTTGGGTTAAGTAGCATTAGTACAAGAAATGAACCTTAAACTTGACAAAATGAAAAATTCTCGATCAACTAATAACAAAGTATGGTACTTGGCATGAAGAATAAAAATAAAAATAAAAATATACGGTTTCTTTCCCTTTTGAAAATCGCAATCTCAAGATTAATAAAAACGACAACAAAAGAAAAAGAGTTGGACGAAGATACGCAGAAAAACAAATAACGGTAATAATTAGCCATTTCAGGGTCAAAAAATGAAGAAATGGGGAGATTTTCCCCTGCAATTACCTGAAGGCTGACGGTTGAGGGTGCGTTAACGATTCTCCACATATTTGAAGTAGAAGAAATGAAAGGGGAAGAAAGAATTGGATAATTTCTTGCTCTTTGTTTCATTCGTTTTATCTTATACCAGTGTTAAAACCCGCGCATAATTTGACATAATATTAATTTTGTAATTTTTTACTAAATTATAATTTTGAATTCATCAAAAAGTATAAAGAGATAAACCTTTTATTACTTTAATAAAAAATATACTAATATTTTTAATAAGTAATCATTTGTGTTTTATATTATCTTATGTATAATATCCTAATAGTTTCTTTATATTTTTATATTTTTCATTATGAAATTATGAGTTCCATTTATTAACTAAAATTTTCTACACGAGAAATTTAATTAGTATATAAATATTATAAAACTATCTTTATCCCCCTCTTTTCGTACATTCTTTTCTACTGTAATATTTACTTAGTTTTCTCATTTTGTATTACACTGAAAATTTAAATAATGAAACTTTGTTTACTAAATTATAATTTTGAATTCATCAAAAAGTATAAAGAGATAGACTTTTTATTATTTTAATAAAAAATATACTAATATTTTTAATAATTAATCATTTGTGTTTTATATTATCTTATGTATAA